AAATTTTATGGGGGAATCAATCAAAAGGGGAATTGCACAGTTATTTTTTTTGTGAGATACGTGTTATGGAGCTAAAGAAAAATTGCAAAGGTTAGGGGATGATTTTTTGGGAAGTGTGTAAAGGTGAAATTTGGGAAAGGAACAAAAAAAGGTAAGGTGATAGGGTGCAAAGATTAGATAAAGAAAAATTGGATATCAAATTGGGGAGGGAGGGTAGGAAAAAGTAATGTTTTAAATATTTGGGGAGTTGATGTGGGCGGATGGTTTTATGAAGGTGGGGTTAACATAGAATTTGATGAGGGAAAAAAGGGAGTGGGCGTGAGGTATTTTGGGAGTCAAAAAACGTTTCTATGGAGGCAAAAAAGGGAATGATGAAAAAAGTAGACCAACCTCTTTATGGGGGAAGCTTGGGTGGAAAAATGCAGCAGCGAGGAGACGGTTGGGGGGCAGTGGGATGCCCTTTTAAGGGCAATGTGTGGTGTAATATATGCAAAAATTTTCGGATTGAAATTTGGGAAAAAGGTGTGATTTAAAAAAGAAAAAAATCAAGGGCAGAAGAGGGTTGTTGGGTGGTTTGGTCATTTAAAGAATGGATCAAAGTAAATGACGGGAAACATATAATCTTAGGGGAAGGAAGCGGGGTGGGGGTCTCCCGAAGGGTTGGAGAAGGGTAAAGGATTTTGGGGGAAAGGGGCGGGGACTTCCACAAGCTCGTGACGTTTTGAAGGAGTAAATGGGACAAAGGGTATTTGGGGACCTGACATCTTTTGGAGTGTGAGGGGGGTTAATTTTTTAGTAAAGGGGATTCGGGGAAACCCGGTTATTTTCATATAGTCGACTGAGTCCGGGAAATGGGAAGTACAATCCTGCCTTTAAAAAGGGGTTTGGGGAAAATTTTGGGCAGTTGGAGGGTATTTTGTATTTTTATGTGTGTAGCTTTAGACTGTTGTATTTGACCCTCGCAAAAACATGATGGGTGCGAGTGTGGTAAAGTGTTAATGGTGAAAAAGATTTTTTTTTGGGGGATTTCTTTCTTTTTTTGGGTCACCCTCCCTGGGTGGGAAGGGCCATTGTTGAAAAAAAAAAAAAAAAAAAAAAAATTTTCTTCTAGGTATGGGTTTGGGAAAACAGCATCCGCCGGGAGGTACTACAATCCTCCAAATGATGTAAAAGGAGCCTTAATTGTTTTACATAGGGTAGGTTTTGCGGTATTTTTATCTCAACCGAAAAGTTTGGTATCTTGTACTTCTACTTACACTTGGTCAAAAATACATAGCAAAGAAAACTATATACAATCCTCGGGTTTCTTTATTCCTTACTATTCCCTTGTTCATTTCCTCTTACTCCATGAGGAAGGGGAACAAAATTTTTTCTCTTTGAGACATTGTGCCGTAAGGCAACAAAATGCCGGGAGAAAGGGGGAGAACCCCCCCCTCCTGTAACATGGTACCTTGACTTTAAATTTAATTCATTCCCGTGACCGAGCTTGAACTCAATTTGCTCGACAGTACGATCAAATCAATTTTCCTCGTTGAAATTAATTGAAAAACCATTAAACCATTTCCAGGCCCCCCCAAAAAAACCCAAATTTTTTTTATGGGTTTTTTAATAAGAAAATTATTTTAAATTAAAATATTGTACAAAAAAAAAAAAAAGAAATGTAAAGAAATCAACTGTTTTTTTAAAAATGAATTTTCCTTGGAGATCAAATGCTTTGGGGTAAAGGGAAATGTGGTGGAGGTGGGGAGTGGGAAAAAATAGGGAAGGGGACTGGAGGAGTTGTTTCATTTGTGCTTTTTCAGTCCTTTTTTATTTCATAAAATCACGCTTAATTTTTTAATTACTTGCCCCACTTTAATGCTACACATTATCGCTGAACGTAATTTCTACAATTTTTTTTTACTTCATTTCACGATTTTTTTCCTTTTTTTTTGTCCCCCTTTTCCTGTCTCGCAAAGGGATTTCAATAAAAAACTGTCCAAGGAGCTTTTTTTCTCCTACCTTTCAGAATGTTTTGGAGATGAGTTTGACAATGTCATTAAAACCTTTTACGCAGCCTTTTTAACTTTTCTGGGGGAATTACATATCTATATGTAAATATCTAGGAACAAGCCCGTACGTCCAATTGACTACCCAAAACCCACACACCAAAAACCCCCTCACCGTATTTTTTTGTTTACTTTTAAAATTAAGGTATTTTTTTTCACATTTTTCCCCTTTCTTTTTTGGACCCTTGGAGAAAAAAGAAATTTAAAAATAACGTAAAAAAACACAAAAGCAAAAACAACAAAGGGAAAACTTAGGGGTACCCACGACAAAAACAAAACCATCCTTTTTCTTTTCCCTTCTTCTCCCCTTCAAAATTTCTCCCTCCAAAAAAAACCCCTTCCTCTTCCTTTTTCCTCTTTTCTCCCTTTTTCTTTTTTCTTTTTTTTTTCCTTTTCCACCTCCTTTTTTCCTTTTTTTTTCTTTTTTTTTTACTTTCTTCTCCTCTCCCCCCTTTTTCCTTTTCCTTCCCTTCTTCTCCCTTTTTTTTCTCCCCCTTTTCCCCCCTTTCCTTCTCTTTTTTTCCTTTTTTCCCCCCCCTTTTTTTTTCTTTTATTTTTTTCTTTTTTTCTTTCTTTATCCTTTTTTTTTATTTTTCCCCCCAATTATCCCCCAAAAAACACACCACCCACACACAAAACACCCCCTCACGTATTTTTCTATGATTTAAATGCTTTAATTCAATGGACATCATCCCTTCTTCTCAGCACTGTCCTTTCCATTTACTTTCTTAGGACCTATGGTTTAAAAAAAAGAAATTTGGCAAAATAACTGTACAAAAAGCACAAAACGCAAACACAACACAAGGAAGATGTTTCCCCACGGCGAGGTGACCACGGCACTGAACGAGCGAGACGCGGGATGCTGGCGGATGTTGTGGCATTTGCTGTGCCAACTAAGGTGGCGTATCTAAAGCTCGCTCGTAACTCGGATTTTTGGCTCCAACTCAAAGCAAAAAATCTACCGAGCAATGGCTCATAACTTGGAAAACTCATAATTTTGGGGCACTCTTAAGTCAAGGAACCGCTAATATTACTAATTTAAAAAGGAGAAACTTTCATTTTTCCTTTTTGGGCCACCCTACCGTCGGTGGGATATGGCCGGTTTGTTGAAAAAAAAAAATTTCTGTATTTTTTTAACATGTTGGCTGTCTCCTACCAAGGCAGACCCAAAAGCAAAAGAAACACTGTCATCATCTTTCACATAATCACTGTCTTTGCAGAAGTGCCCAGATATGACAGTTTAGATGTTACTCAAAACAGCCAATATCCCAAACCTCCTTTAAAGTGCAGGCATTCTACTTATGTATTATTCCTATTATATTCACAAAAGTGATCACCCTTTGTATAGTTCTTTTATATAAAGTTAAGGGGGTCAAGAGAGATTGTAAAAATTATAGGGTAACAAGTTTACTGAGTATACCAGGTAAAGTGTATGGTAGTATTATTATTGAAAGAATTAGAGGTAAGACAGAGAGAAGGATTGCAGATGAACAAGGTGGCTGTAGATTGGGTAAGGGATGTGTAGATCAAGTGTTTACATTGAAGCATACAAGTGAAATATATTTAGATAAAGGTAGGGAAGTTTTTCACTGCATTTATGGATTTAGAAAGGCTTATGATAGGGTGGATAGGGAAGCAATGTGGCAGATGTTGCAATTGTATGGAATAGGTAGCAAGTTACTAAATGTTGTAAAGAGTTCTTATGAGTATAGGCGAGTCTCACATTAGGGTGTGTAGGAGAGAGGGAGATTACTCTCCAGTAAAGTAGGCATTAGATCAGGAATGTGCAATGTCACCATGGTTGTTTAACATATTTATAGATGGAGTTGTAAAAGAAGTAAAAGCTAGTGTTGGGGAGAGGAATTAAAGTATGGGGAATCAAATACAAAATGGGAGTTGACACAGTTACATTTTGCTGATGATACTGTGCTTTTGGGAGATTCTAAAGAGAAGTTGCAAGGGCTGGTGGACGAGTTTGGGAGGTGTGTAAAACAAGAAAGTTGAAAGTAAACATAGATAACCATAAGGTGATGAGGGTATCAAAACAAGTTAGGTAAAGAAAAACTGGATATCACATTGCAGGAAGGAGTAATGGACGAAGTTCAGATATTTGGGAGTAGATTTGTCAGCAGATGGGCTATTGAAGGACGAGGTTAACCATAGAATTGATGAAGAAAAAAAGGCGAGTGGTGCATTGAGGTATCTGTGGAGACAAAAAACATTATCCATGGAGGCAAAGAAGAGAATGTAAGAGAGTATAGTGGTACCAACACTCTTTATATGGGTGTGAAGCATGGGTTTGGAAATGCTGCAGCAAGAAAGAGGCTGGAGGCAGTGGACATAACGTGTTTAAGGCAATGTGTGGTGTAAATATTATGCAGAGAATTCGTAGTGTGGAAATTAGGAGGTGCGGAGTTACTAAAAGTATTAGTCAGAGGGATGAAGAGGGGTTGTTAAGATGGTTTGGTCATTTAGAGAGGCTGGAGCAAAATAGGATGACTTGGAGGGTGTATACATCTGTACTGGAGGGGAGAGTGGTAGGGGTCATACTAGAAAAAGATGAGAGAGGGATAAAAGGGGTTTTGTGTGCAAGAGGCTTGAACATGCAGTGAGCATGTTAGATAGGAGTGAATGGTGTTTGGGACTTGACGAGATGTTGGAGTGTGAGCAGGGTGATATTTTGTGACGGGATTCAGGAAACCAGTTAACCGACTCGAGTCCTGGAAATGGGAAGTACAATGCCAGCACTTTAAAGTGGTGTTTGGGATATTGGCAGTTTGGAGGGACGTCTAAACTGTCGTACCTGAGCGCCTCTGCAAAGACAGTGATTATGTGTGAGTGATGGTGAAAATGTTGAATGATGATGAAAATATTTTTCTTTCTTTTTGGGTCACCCTGCCTCAGTGGGAGACGGCCGATGTGTTAAAAAAAAAAATATGTAGCCTACAAGAACTAACCTGTCAATGAATTCAGTGGAAACTCCAAATGCTGCAGCCATATAATGAATGTGAGAGATCGATAGGACTCTAGTAGCTGTGTATAAGCCAGAATTCTCATCTCTCTCACATAATACCTATAGTGTGGTGCTAGTAGTCGGTCATGACGTAACTCGCCTTCAACCCATGCTGGAAATTAAAAACTGATTAAGTGTGATACAACCAAATGAAACATGTCTTTGGAAAGAGCCTTGCTTATTGTACCATATATTACACTACTGACCATAAGTTAGCCATTTTTACAAAGTGTACACATTCTTTTTAACACTGGCCATCTCCCACTAAGGCAGGGTGACCCAAAAAACAAAATACTTTTACCATCATTCACTCCATCAATGTCCTGCTGGAGGTGTGCCAGTACCACAGTTCAGATGTTGTCCCCCAAACTACAATATCCTCATCCCTCCTTTAGAGTGCTGGCACTGTACCCTCCATTTCCAGACTCAAGTCCAGCAACCAGTTTTTCCTGAATTCCTTCACAAAATGTTACCTTGCTCACACTCCAACTCAAGTCCCAAAATCCACTTTCCTCCACTCACTCCTATCTAACATGTTCTCACATGCCCGCTGGATGTCCAAGCCCCTTGCACACAAAACCTCCTTTGCTCCCTCCCTTCAACCTCTTCATAAAAGTACAAAATATAAAAAGGTACAAGCTTATTATGATATACACTGATGTCAGTTGACCAACCATGAGATTTTTTTAAAAATTCTTTCCTTCACACCAAATGGAAATTTTTCTGGTTCAACCCTTCTAGTGAAAAATATGAACACAGTTCAAACTACTTTAAGAAATATGGTCAGTTTCCTCTTATGGGATGGGTTCAGTGATATAATTTTTGTCAAAATTTCCTAGCATTTTTCTATCAAATGTATTAATTCTTTAGTAATATAGGTTTTCAATCTATGTGCAGTAAAATCAATTTATTTGGTAAAAGTGGTCAAGAAATGCAGACTTTTTTTTTATTATTGGTCTGTCACACAAGCCATAAGAGCTGGTTCAAAATATGCTCAATGAATTTCCCAAATATAAAACTTTTCTTTCAGGAGAAATCTTTTGTAAATTTTAATTAACCATATAAGAACATTTTTTTTTCAACAAGTCAGCCGTCTCCCACCAAGGCACGGTGACCCAAAAAAGAAAATCCCCAAAAAGAAAAGACTTTCATCATCATTCAACACTTTCACCTCACTCACACACAAATCATTGTTTTTTGCAAAAACACCCTGATACAACATTTTTAGAAGCATATATATATAAAAGCATTAGTCAAGGGCAGAAGAGGGGTTGTTGAGGTGGTTTGGTCATTTAGAGAGAATGGATCAAAGTAGAATGACATGGAAAGCATATAAATCTATAGGGGAAGGAAAGGGGGGTAGGGGTCGTCCTCGAAAGGGTTGGAAAGGGGGGGTAAAGGAGGTTTTGTGGGCGAGGGGCTTGGACTTCCAGCAAGCATGCATGAGCGTGTTAGATAGGAGTGAATGGAGACGAATGATACTTGGGACCTGACGATCTGTTGGAATGTGAGCAGGGTAATATTTAGTGAAGGGATTCAGGGAAACCGGTTATTTTCATATAGTCGGACTTGAGTCCTGGAAATGGGAAGTACAATGCCTGCACTTTAAAGGAGGGGTTTGGGAATATTGGCAGTTTGGAGGGATATGTTGTGTATCTTTATACGTATATGCATTCTAACTGTTGTATTCTGAGCACCTCTGCAAAAGCAGTGATAATGTGTGAGTGTGGTGAAAGTGTTGAATGATGATGAAAGTATTTTCTTTTTGGGGATTTTCTTTCTTTTTTGGGTCACCCTGCCTCGGTGGGAGACGGCCCGACTTGTTAAAAAAAAAAAAAAAATCACCGTACTCTTAAACTATGTTCACTTTCAACTTTCTACCTTTATACATAGACAATATGTATTCACTACCACTGAATACATATCATGTTCACATATGACACTACAGTCATGATTATTATTGAAGGATAGACTGTAAAGTAGAAAATTAAATTAAGCAATATAACATCACTGGCTGAGTCTCTTCCTCACAAACTGTAGTGATAACCAGAACCAAAGAGTCCTGAGGTGATAAACAATTAACCACCACTGCCTCAGGTTTCTTCATATTTTAATACTGATGCAGAGGGAGGCAAGAGGATATGGAAACACTGCCTGAATTGACTACTGATGCACAAAACAGCTGATTTACTTACCTGTGGGGCAAAGTATATGTAAAAATCTGATTTTTGGGAGTGAAAATATACTCATCTTATAGCCCAAGAAAACTTCTGGAATTTACCCTAAATACAAAATAAAACACTACAGTTCTGATGTTAGTTTTTGATAACATCTGTCTAACACAAGATTATGAAAAATTATAACTGATTTATGATCAAAGCATTATCCAAAATTAAATAACTGCCAGCATAAAACTCACATAGCTTCTGGAAAAAGGTGTGGTATTGACACTCATACAGAGAAAGAAGGTAAGTTTTGAGATCCTCAGCTGAGTGAAGTACCTCCTGAATTTCTGAACCCTTCACAACTTTAGTTCTAAGATCGTTACGAGGAAGAGCTATCATGCACACCAAAACAGTGTAACCAACAAATCTGAAAAATTTAAATATTTAGACTTGAAAAGCAATAAATAGCTTAGAAGATACGTATATAGCAATGACAAATTTATAGTTATTACAGTATTTAAGCAAAATATAGATGATCATTCTTGAGTATAATTAAGCCAATAATTATTTACTTTTTTTTTTTAAAACACCGTCTCCCACTGAGGTAGGGCGATCCGAAAAAAAAAAACAATCACCATCATTCATACTATCACCACTACACTAACCTAGTGTAGTCCATCAATTCATAAGAAGTAAATGTGCTGATTGTATCTAAAAAGAGAGTGGCAGCCTTTTTGAAGTCTCTGACAGCCATGCAGTAAACTCCTTCATATACTTTTAGCCGATTGCGGCGATCCCAATCACCTCCCTCTTCAATGAGGCTAGAAAGTAAGTACAATAGTCAGTTATAGCATTACACTGCACGATTATGGAATCATACCTAGTCTGCCAAAACAATTAATTCGGAATGTGAATAACTTCATTATTTGCCTATTAGTTCTCTTAGTTACATAATGAGCAAATTAACATACTTCTACCATCTTCAATAATTTAAATGTAGGCTATATACACATTTACTTTCAAGGGGACTGACTGCCTTGATAGTAAAAGGCTCTAGATCCATTGAACTGAAGCTCCCTCTCTTGGATCAAACCTGATTACCTCTCATTCCCCAGGCACTGTATGACTCCTACAGGTTTTATGCTTCCCTATGAATATAATAATATACACATATTCCTGTCCAAATCCCCAAATCCATTATTCTTAAAACCAAATATTTTTCTTTTCCAAATACTGAAAATTAGTTAATCAATACTTTTGCATCAGCATAGTACTATGCATATTCTTCTAACGAAACGTCTGACTTTCACAAAATATAATTGGCAACAATCTACTAAAATAATTTAATAATAACCAATATTAACAGTATAGGAGGGGCCCCGTTTCCCTT